AACCTCAAATTTCAATGAGAACTTGAAGTTCTTTTTGCTAATTTCCCAATAACCTCCACCTTAATATCAAATAACTCCATCTAGATATTCTCTTCATGGTGTCTCCCTTATTTTTTTTCTTGTCTAGGCTAGGGTGGTTTTACTTTGGGCCAACAATACATATCAAAATGTCAAAATGGAAGAGTTACAAGTTGTATTTGTTGAGACTGCGGTCATATATAAAGGAACACAAAAGGATCGAAATGGATCCCTGTAACTTAGGCATGCAATATCAAATAATGGATAGCTTATACTGTACCAACGTTGCCATCGGTCACCCTCTTAAATTGACTAGAAACTCCTTGTTGGTCATATGTAATAGATGTTTTCTATGTTACCTAGGTATTTCTAACTGGACGTCATACCCGTAACCAACACGTACGCAAACTTCTTGGACACTTCTAATTATATGCATACATTTACTCAGGAATACACTTAATTATATAATACATGTTTTATTTAAATCACTCCTCATACACTTCTTGAACATATATTCTACCCTTCACATCAATTTCTTAAATATTGAGCTTATGTAAAAGAACAAACAATATTGATCTTATGCAAATTATTTATTTTAAAACATTAAAATATACATAACATACATCTACATATTCGTATCATCGCATTTCCTTCAACAAATTTATTGTGTCCTATACTCGTACCCGTACCCGTACCAGTACCCATACAACTTAGGATGTTTTCAATAGTTATCAAAGACTTTTTGTCAAACGAAGATGTCTGAAGAATGTATTGCTAGTCTATTCACCAGAAGAAAATTAATACAGCAAAGATAATTCACGTTCAATCCATTTCTGCTAAAGAAAAGTTTCAAAATCCAAGGTCACGCAAATCTTTGGCTATAAAAAGAGACTTCTTTGTGCTACAAATAGGGCTAAAAAGATCCAATGGTGCAAAAAACAAAACTTATACCTATATTCATATCTAAAAATATTATCCTTCACCCAAATCCACTCCAATACTGGATAGACACATGAAAATAGTACCCGAGTTGAAACTTAGGAAATTATTGGAACATTAGAATCTGTGAAGATATCTAGATGACTATGAGATTTAGCGAATACCATGACCTTCTCTATAAACTCGCCACAATTGATAACTAGATACTTATCATAGTAAATTCAAATTGTGTCATTAATATACTAATTAGTAGAGATATATATTAATCATATATATTACTTCTTATTGTGGACAGTATGCTAATAATTATAAGTGAAGTAAAAATATCAATGTATTCAAATCTATTAAGATATTGATTGGTATACATATTAACGAAGTGGATATGCAGACTCGGATATTTCGCTAACATCGATAATCAATAGAAACAAGCATGAGTTTCATTCTCCGACATGGAGATGGGATGTTGGAATAACTGTCCAAAATCAACATATAAGGAGTCTTATATACATATATTTCATCTAACTATCTAACTGTGTATACTTGACTCATGAGTTTGCATATTTCTAATTTCCTATCTAAAAGAACTATTACATAAGATGCTCAAAAAAAATAGCTCCTTTTTTAATAAAAGAAGAACAAAAAATAGTCCCTTACATATATGATTTGAGATAAATAGCAACTTCGAAAATTGTAAGTATTGCAGAAGGATGGACATGCATTTCAAGAACATTAGGCACGCCAATTTATTGATATGATGTCAAATATATCATAAATTTACACTCCAATTTGTAAGCGTGAGATAATACTAGCTTAGTTCAACAAAACATTATAAAGGTCTATTCATGTCATTATCGTTTCTAACTAATAACTTACATAAAAGCAAGAAGTGGATGAAATATTGCAGTGGAAGGATTGAAAACTTCTATTTCATAGAGGTTGAGATCTTCTATATCCTATTTTGTATTGATGTTAAATCTAGAAAGCAATGAGGACCTTACAAATTTTTTAAAGCCATATCATAAGAATGAACTCCTAGTTGTGATTCTAGTAAAGGATGACATAGCATGTAAACCTTTGGTAGCAACCACCAACCACCAACCTACATGTATCCACGTATAGGAAAATGTCTGCATCAGAACAATTTGATCTGTACATGAAACCTTAATGTTTAAATAATTTTCATTTAGTTGAAGACTTCATATCCTAATAACAAAAACATTCTTAAGATCTACTTCAAGCAGCAAGGATTGAGTATAGATTACTGGGAATATTTTGTATTCGTATTGACGATGCCTTTTTATCTTTTATTATGGTGTACAACAGCAACAACAATAAAACTCAATTAACTACATGCATTCGACACACACCATGTGTCGAAAAGTTATTAAGATGAATACTAGAATTTTGGATGTCACAAGGAATGAAGAAGTCTATTCATCATCAATGCACAATGGAGGCTAATATCCATTGTGGGGTGTTGTATCACAACACATGAAAGCAAAAGAATTTCCTCCTTTAACAGTAGTTACTAAGTCAAATTATACCCGACACTGCCTCAAATGTTATGTTTATAAATAAGCCAAGTAGATTTTTTCACTAAACCAAAAGAAAGAAAGTTCATTAAGTACAACAATCTGAAAAAGATCCCTAGTTTGCTTATTTTGCTATCACTAAATGAAGCGCCACTAAGTTTTCTAATACACTGCAACAGTTAATGCAGCAGATCAACTAGGAACAAAATTTTTAGTATTCTGATCAAACCAAAAAATTAAAAAATTGCAAATACCAAAGGGAGTGGTGCTACAAGAGTCTGATGTAACTGTAGAAAACTTATTAGATTGAAGGATAAATTTTAGCCAGCTATATGGCCAACAATTCTTTATGGATCAAATGGTGATCAATTATAAAACATGTGCCAAAATGAAGAAATAAATGAGAATGTTGCAATGATCTTGTCGGTATACACTGACTCACTAAGGGATAGCATAAGGAATAACTACATTTGCAAGAGGTCAGACTTTGCTCCTATTGAGTAGAAAATGAAAAAAATAATTAATTGAGAGAACTTAGTCATACAGTGAATGCCACTAAATGCATCAGTTAGAATAAGTGGGTAAATGGGGCAAAGAGGACTAGAGGTAAGCCTAAATTAACTTGGGTGGAACAATGATATGATAATAGCTAAGTTATGTGCATACTTCTATCATTAAGCCATACCTGTACCCAACAGTTATTGTACCCATACCCGACACTTATTATACGTGTATCGAACACCAACATCCTGGAATATAAATATACATTTACTCAAAGAATACTCAATTATAAAATACATGTTTCGTTTTAGAAGACTCATCACACACTTCTAGGACGTATATCCTACACTTCACATCCGCTACCTGAGAATCTTTCGGCATGGGTTCAACTTGTGTTAGTCCACACCCAGTTCAGAGCTATAATCTTAAAGGATCGTCAAGGTATCTAGTCAAAAAAATGAGTGACATGATAATAGCTAGTTTTGTGCATACTTCTATCATTAATTCATACCCTAGCCGACACTTATTGTACCCAAAACTAACACTTATTTTACGTGTATTGAACACCAACATTCTCGAATACACATATACATATATTCAAAGCATACACGATTATATAATACATGTTTCGATGTAGAAGGCTCATCATACACTTCTGGACGCATATCCTACACATCCGCTTGCCGAGAATCCTTCAGCATAGGTTCAGTTTGTTTTAGTCCACACCCAATTCAGAGCTATAATCTTAAAGGACCGTTAGGGTATATAGTCCAAAAATGAGTGAATTCTCAATTTATAATGCACATCTTAAAAGAAACATATTATAAGAATTGTAGTTCTCATAACATGCGAATAATAAAATTATATTGATCTTATGGAAATTGTTAATTCAATACATAAACATATAACTGCATTGATGTAACTTATCTTTTATAAATTTTACGTGTTATGTACCCTTACCCTCTCTAGTATATGTTTCCATGCAACATAGGATAATAATTAACAGAGGAGATAACTCTTAATAGAGTTGAATGGAAGAACAAAACTCATTTAGTTAACCCCAAACATTTGGAATTAAGTTTTTGTTCTTGTTGTATGGACTGAAGGGTTCTAAGGTTACATGCACTAAATAAATCTAAAATATCCATTCCTCCATCACCGTTTTCACAAGCCTCAAAAGGTAAAAAAATTTAGAAAAAGGAAAAGAACGATGTTGTTCTATTGAATCCATTAGAAAACCTTACGATTGTAATCTTCACAAAACTAAGGTCCTTCCCTATCCAAAGATCAGATATGAAGCATGAATCAAAATTAGGAAAAAAAATCGCCAAATTTTAGAATAATATGTCAACTAACATCACCTCTACATAAGGTGGTATAATACTGTAACAAAGTCGACAAATGCGAGAAATGATCTTACATAGAACATAGAGTCTATTTAACAGGTAGGAAAAGACCACCTAACTCACTACTCACGAGGCAGATTACTAAAAGCTAAACAGGCTCTCTTACAATATTCAAATTTCTGACAATAATATCCGATAAAGTACATTTAGACTTCATTGCTATACAGACCAAAATTATAAGCCCACCTTGGTTGGATACTTCTATTCTCTGAAGGTGAAATTGAGGAAGAAAACTCAAAATGACACATAACAAGATAGGGTTACTTGTGGAAGAAAGATTACCAGCCCTAGCTAGACGACCATTTCACTCACCAAGCTCAACATCTATGCCATGGCAATCAATGCATTGCAATTACACCTCAATCCAAGTTAGGTCTCAAGCGACATGCATCCATTTACTCAAATTCATACCAACAGAACAGATTCCAAAAATAAGGTCCCAAAAGAAGCACCAACAAAAGCAGCCAGAATCTCGAAAGCCAAATTTTACCTCAAAATTCACCCAATCAAGCACAAACACTAATTAAAACTAACTTTGACTCCATGAACCATTATCCAAACCAATTCAATGAAATCAAAACTAAAAAAACAAATAATTCCTCACCGAACCGTCGCCAAGATCGAGAGACGGCACTGACGCGCACGAGATCGGCCGGATCGTCCAGAAGCATCAGCACGGTCGTCGACGTGTCCGGCCCCAGGCATTCCAAGAAATCAGCGCGGACATCCATCGCCGGTTTCGGCCTGATTTCATCAAACCCTCCTTTTAAACAAATCCATCGAAATCTCACCCAAAGCTCATGCATAAATATCAAAAGGATAGGATCCATTACCTGTGGATGGCGGTTGAGATGAGAACGAAGAGCGAGACAGTGGAAACCCTAGGAGAGAGAAAACATTTGGTTGGAGAATTTTAGAGAGAGGAGGAGGAAGGGGAGAGAGAGAGAGAGAGAGAGAAAGAGAAAAGAAGCGGAAACGATATATAAGGGAGGGGAGAAGGGAACGGATCGTGTTTCGCACCGACACGGCGCTTTCGAGAGATGACGAGGCTCGGTCTTTCTTTTTAAATTTTTATTTATCATTCTATGCAGCGGATAATGTTAGGTGTATAGTACGGCATACAAAACCATTTTTTTAATTTAATTATAAATTAGACCAATTTAATATTTATTTCTAAAACAGCAAAACTTAATATCTACTTTCCTTTATAACCGAAGGAAAACCTCCCAATGAACAGTAAAATTTCTCATTATCCACGTATTTAAAACCTATCGTCGCCCCCACAACCGTCTGCTCCCAACTTCCCCACGCACGAACATGAGAAAGAGGGGAAAAAACCCCACGATGTCTCCCTCCACTCCTCATATTCTCCTTCCTCCTCTCTTTACTGGACCCCTCCCTAGCCGCCGCCCCCCTCCTCTCGATCCTCGGTTTCCTCCTCTTCCCCTTCGTCTGGTCCATCCCTAAGGCCCTGATCACCGTCGAGCTCGCCGCCGCCCTCCACGGCAACGGGGGCTTCGTCCTCTGGGCCCACCGCGCCTTCGGCCCCTTCCCGGGCTCCCTCATGGCCACCTGGAAGTTCCTCTCCGGCGTCATCAACAGCGGTTGATTCTTACGAGGAGCTTCGATCTCCGATGTCGCGGTGGGCCTCCGACCTCAGGCCGAGGAGCTTCGACCTCCGATGTCGCCTCCGCTGCTCCTACGAGGCGAGTTCTTGAAGATCTATCTTCGTTGTTGGATCGAGCGGTTGATTCTTTGCCCTAATTTGACTTCAATTTTGACTTCTTTGGTGCAGGGGAGCTATCGAAGAGGAGGAGGAGGAAGTGCTCTCCTATTCTAGAGAGTGCTTTTCTGCTGAATTCTGATGCTTTGCCGGCGATCACGGAGTCGAGATCGGTTCTGGATATTTGGAAATTGACGGCGAAGAAGTTCGGGGCTCGAGTGGCCGTGGTGGATCCTTATCATGATCCGCCGTCGGAGTTGACTTACAAGAAGGTGATGGGTTTTTGCTGAATTTAAGAGCATTGGAATGGCACTAGAGTCGTTTTGTAATCTCTGTATGTTATTGAGAAATACATGGACCATACAATTATGGGCCTCTCTAAAAAGATGATTTTCATGCACTTGGTAAATGGATGGAAAGGTCAAGACTTTTATGAAACTTAGATTTATAGAGCAGCTTCTTTACAAAATCAAATTATTGGATTGCTCAAGCACCTACACGGCAATAAAATATGTTGACATGAGGGAAGGGCTGCATCAGTTTTGTTATGGTGAACTGACTCATAACCAGTGGCGGAGATAGAAATTCATAATGGTGGTGTCACAACATATATAAAAAGACGATATTACCAATTTTCTCTCACATTCAGTATATTTAGAAATTTTAATTAGGTTCGAAAGATATTTAAGTAGGTACAATTACAATTAACCCTGCGTGTCTTTATGTTTTGAAAGCATAATAGCATTCATTCAAAATACCACTCACTGCATCCTTTTCAATGTAAAATCATCTCTCTTTTTTTCTTTTTCAAAATTGATGGTAGCTCTTTGATATGTTGGGCCATTTAAGTTAATGGGTACTAGGATCACTTTATTTGTAGGTTTGGCCCATTAAGAATTGATGTCACTACTAACTATTCAAATTATTTCGAGGTGTCGATACTTTACTTAATGAGTTCATAGAAACTTATTTCATTGTATAATTTGGGGTGGTGTCTCATGACACGGGCGCCACCCTCCATACACTAGCTTTGCCCCTGTTCATAACATTAAACTTCTTTTGGGAGATATAGGTTGTTCTGGACTTGGATCACTGTCGAGAATTAACTGTGAATTTGATTAGAAGATGGCCAAAATGGGATGTTGATGCTGGTAAATTATTTGTCAAGAGTGGAGATAAGTTTATGATCAACGATGACCTGCATGTGACTCTGGCTTCTATGGAGCATAGCCTGTCTTTAATCCAGAAACCGAGAAAAGAAGATGCATGCATTCTCTAGCATAAGTCTATTATAAGCGTCGAAAATTGCCTATAGGTCTCCACGAACAGCTCGGTGCTAAGAGAAGACGATGAACGTCACTATCCAAGTTATAAAAGCTTGATTGATGTCGACAAACGCTTAAAGTGAATCGACGAACTACGTGAAGTAACGAAGTTTTAGAATAATGAGGATACGAACTGATCGGGAGCCCAGTGTCGCTTATAAAAGGTGAAACGCCGCTCGTATCCCAGTTTAATCAACAATAGTCTAAACCATCGGAGTTTATAGATCTCCTCGCCGGCTTTCCAACGCACTTTAAATCACTCAAATCTGAATTCGGATGAAGAAGTTTCGGCGGAAATAGACAAGTGTGCAAAACGAAGCGTCTCAGCCTGAGTTGAGACACCCCGAGGTGTCTCGGCCCAACCGAGACACCCAAGGGTGTCTCGGCCTCGCTGAGACACCCAAGGGTGTCTCCAGCCTTAAAAATTGGCCGTTATGCGATTTTAATCGCCCGGATTCCCCGGAGCCTATAAATACAGCCCCAGGACCTTCATTTTTTCGGATCTGGAATTTTGGAGAATTGGCGAAGCCCTGCCAGATTGAAGATTGATCGAGTTCTTCAACACAGGAGAGAAAGGTTCTTCAGATCTACATCACCCGTGTCCGTTCCTTAGGATTATCCCGTTGCGGTAATCTTAAGAAGAGCAATTATCTCGCCGTTGTCGAGATAAGCGCTTCTGCTTCTAGATTCATTCGCGAATCGACGGAGTATTGGATCTGATCTCATTGTCAGGTAGTCCACAGATATCGACATCCCCGTTACCAGCCAAAAACCTATGCAAGCAAGAGACGATGAACGGATCTTGCGTTATTTTCGAGAGAGTTGTAACCCTTTCTTTCTTTCTTTTGTTGAGTATTTGAATTCTTTGTAAACAATTAAAATTATAATAAATTCAGCAATGAAGGCAACTTTCAGCGAAAACAAACTGGCGACCACAGTGGGAGCCAACAGCCTCGCTGCCGAGGCTGTCGTGACGCAACCGGCAATCAAGATCCGGGTGAATGAAGAGATCGAATATGAATTCGATCAGCAAAAGTTTGAAGAGTACCTCTCTTCCTCCTCCCCCAGATCCGCCTCTCCAAGCAGGCGCAGGAAGGTCTCCTCTTCCAAAAGCACTCGCGGGGCTTCAAGCTTGAAGATCAAGGATCCCCTCGTCGCCGCTGCACTCACGCCCCGCGATGCCCCTGCGACGTCCAAAGAGGTTAAAGCTGTAGATCCGGACTTCTTCTCTGCCATGAAGATAACTGATGGAGGCGCTCCAACTTTGTCGAAGAGGGCACGCCAAAGACGGCGTCAACGCCTTGCGCGATAATTGGCCACGGCTTCGGAGTCGATGGATGGGATCCGCTATAATGAGGATCTGAAATCTAGGCAGCGCCGAGAACAACAATGGCTAGCAACCAATCCCTCCTCCAAGACAGAAACGAACGAATGGGTTCGTGTCAAAAGGACCCGCTCCACCCTTGAGGAGCGAATCAAAAAGCGTCGCGCATTGCTCGCGCATGCCCAAGTCTTTCTGCAGAAAGCGAAAGAGATGTAGAAGGAAGAGATAGTTAATAAGTCGTCCAAGCACAAACAGGTGTGGGTGCCGAAGGCGAAGTCAGCGCCTAAGGCAAAAGTGAACGAAGTTACAGCCCGGCGCTCGTCAACTTCAGATCCCGTTTCCCCTATCCCCGTATCTCCGACGGAGCCGTGTGGAAGCATGAATCTTACCAAATCCAGAGTTCCTTTGAAAGATCACCTTGGTCCTCTACCTGAAGACCGAAGTAAAGCACCTGTGAAGGAGCGATTGGGACCATTGAAAGGTTCCCAAATAATAATTCAGACTGGGTGTTGTACCAATCACCCCAAGAATAATAATAAAGGAAAGGCTCCTGTTACCAACCGTATTGGATTGCGAGTTGAAGTTCGAGAGCCCGTTAGAGTTTCACGTTCACAAAGACGTAAATCTGAACGAGTGACTATTGGGGACGCCAATAAAGCGTCATATCCCTAGAGGGAAACATATTTGTCCGATAATGATGTTATACCTGGGAGGTCGTGCCAACACTCTATGGGTTGCTCTAGTCATCAAACTGATGAGTTGTAGTATAGGGCTGGGGGTACGAATAAGTCCCGAAAAAGAAATATCCAAGACGCGGATTCTCACTGTCCGTGTGCCAATATAATCAAGGCGGTATTATCAGAATGCTGCTATTCTAAAGCCCCACGAAGAGTTTCGGTGTTTGAGAGAATCTCCACCAGAACGTCTGAGGCCAAACCAAGGCATTTCCGTAGGAGGAAACCTGTCCTCCGAGACAATGAATTTCCAGAAGTGTCCGTCAACATGACCGGGAGAGGGAAGTCAACGCGACACTTTAGCCCGGATTAGTTTGCTGCAGTATCCCGATGTATGACCCGATTGCGATCAGGAACCATCAGACAAAAGAATTACCAAAGAATGCAAAAGGGACTTCCTTCAGAAGAGGAAACGTCGGATGTTTGCTCAGATGCTTGCTTGGTGATGGCTTCCGATGATACCGAATCCAGCACGGGATAATCATACGAGTCATTCATGATTAGCGTCGAGCAGATGGCTAAGATACTTGAGGACGCTTTGACCAAGCAGAAAGAAAATTTTAAATTTGAAATGGAAATGGCTATGCAGCAAATGAGAGAAATGCATGACCAGCAAATCGCGGCACTGACAACTCATCAAGGAGAATCTAGCCATCGCAATAATCCTAACCAAAGTGATAACGAGCGGGAAGTGAATGAGAACGTTAACATGACCACCCCTCCCATCGATAACAATACTGGGAGTGGTCCTTCGGATGATAGCAATACGAAGGAAGACCATGTTACTTCTCCCCAAAATCGCCCGAAGGAAGATACAGGCGAAGATAAGAAGATGAGGGATTTGGAGAGCAAAATCAATACGTTGATGAGTGCTCAAGAAGTAAAAAGGTCCGGAATACCATG